ATTTTGTTTAGAAATTTCATCACTGAACCAGTATTTTATTCAGTCTTATGTAGAATTTTGAAAAAAAAATCAACAATTATGCACAACAATGAACTAGTGGCTGGGAATTGTGATTCTTCTCCTTTAAAGGGCAAAATAACAATCACTAGAGGCAACATTTTCTCAAACATTAAAGACATGTGTAAAGTCTGCAATAAAGATGAATCATATTGAATTTTTTCTTTGAAATTTCCTTTTTATTCTCATAGCCCTCATGTCTTCCTTTTCTCTTCTGGTTAAGCGTATACCCAAAGTATAACTTAGACATTTTCTATCGGAAATTTTAATAAAAATGATTTAATACAAGAGCAGCAGAAGTGTGTCAGTTCAGATGAAATGCCACAAATAAGCCAGGAAATGATCAGAAAGCAAGGAAGCCTGCTCTCCTGGGGTCAACAATATCCAAGTTGAGGTGATGACGCTGAACAGTAAGTCATCTTGGGAAATGTGCACTGGTATCAAAGCCAAAGTGGGAAATATTAAGACAAGACACCAAGCCACTTTCCCCTTCCCATTGTTTATTTTATAGCTTTTTAAAAATCAGGTAGTCAACTGAAACACTTCAACAAGAAAGCTGGCAGACTGTCAGGGAAAAGGAGTGAGGATCTTTCCAACAGGTGTGACAAAATAGTTTCATATTGGAAACAGTCTTGCATAAATCAACAGAGGGTAGGGAGGGCAGAAGGGAGACCGGAACAAGCATCTTCCATCAGGATTGTGAGCAGGGAAAGGCACTGTGTAGCTGTCTTATTTATAAAAGTCTGTAAAACAGACAATCCATTTCTTTAAATTACATTCAATACTGCTTTAGAGATGCTCACGTACCTCTCAACCGAAATCTACGAAAGCTGTCTGAAAAGACAGACTGCACCAGTGTAGCTCAGGCCCAGGCTTGCCACGGATGAGTTTTAAAGAGATAATTATCAGGGGCCATTTTATAAATAGTACTGCAAAGGTCACCAACTTGCATAAACTGAAAATCTGACTAAATGACCACACATTTCAACTTCTAAAATTCCCACGCCAAGAAATCAAAAAGCAAGCTGTCCTCCACAGAGAAGCTGCACTGGAGTACACTTGAAACTGGACTGTCTCTCCCCTTACAAGGTGAGCTGAAGAGCAGTTCAGTTGGCTTCACATGGCGACTCTGCGGCAGGTAGATGGGTGCAAAGCTAACAGCAACTACCCCATTTCCTCAGAAAGTAAACTATACTAATTTAAGAAGTAAAATTAAAATTTTAACGCAGAAACACTTGGGCCTTTTAAAGACAGTCTTCACAAAAGGTTACAATACCAAGTACTTCTCATCATAAAGGACTCTAAGACCACAGGTGTGTTTGACAATGACCAATGAATGGGAACACCCAACTAGAAGATTTACAGAGATGTTCTCTATGTAGAGGTTTTAAATGTAAGGTACTAAAATACCACTTATGCATTTGGGAACCAGCCTTTACATTTTTCTAGTGATTTTGGAATTTTTATTTAATTTTATTAAAAAAGAATCACTGTCTACAAACTATTTTCTTTGTTAGCTATGCAAACACAATGAGCAAATCATCTGCAGGATCAAACACTGTTTGGTAACTCACTGAGGACACTAACAATTCCAAGAATTTTCAGTGGGATATCAAAGAGAAATAGTAACACATTTCAAATTATAGACACTAATTGCACTTTTAGAAAATAAAAGTGAAAATTTAACTCAGTAAATTTAAATTCTTTGATTTTTCAATAGTTTAAATCTAATCATCAGGAAGTTAGATGCACCCGATATGTTAGAAATTGCATGAATGCAAATGGCTGATAAAAAAGTAATTTCCATGCAATATTTCGTATGTTGCTATTAGATATATTTAAGTGATAATTTATAGGTTAAAGCTGGGAAAAATAAAAATATATCTTCCCCATTACATTTTAAAACAGTCACAATAATTTATCAACAGTTGCCATTTCACAGTAATTAGAAAATAGGAGTTGATACAAGTTGAACAAAAAGCTTTTTTTTCTTTTAGGAAATAAACAGATACAGATATATATTTATATTTACATATATATGTGTGTGTATACACTTAACATTATTTTTAAAATTCAAAGTGGTTATTTTATTTTTTTTTTCATTATAAAAAATCCCCTTCTGGTTAAAACACTGAAAAAACACAAAGATAGAAAAAAGAAAACCACATTTGCCACTTGAAAAACAACACATATTGTTGCAGTGTTCCTACTTAATTGATTATAAAGCTATGTTCTTGTAAGGACTGAGACCGCTAGGACTATGCTGTACCAGACAGAATTCAGTCTACCTCAACTTCAGTCTTCAGAAAGGACACTCCTAACCCACTCTAAAGATAAAATAAATGTCCCTATTCTGGTGGGGTTTTTCATGTTTACAGAAAATTTATTGTAGTTACAGACATGTTGCTATTAATCCCCCTCAAAGTAACCTCCCCACACGCTTATTTTGATCTGATCTGTTAAACTGGGAAAGAAAACATGTCCACGTGGAAGCAATATACATAAAAGTTTATGAATCTGTGGGAGAGACTGCAGGATCAGAAGGCTAGTCTTTGGATTTACGTGAGTCTTTTGGGCCCCTAGACTAGGGATGCAGAAATGTCTTCTCCATAAATAATGATTTCTCTAGTTGCAGAGCCTGGTAGCTCATGGACCTTATCTTGTACTTCATCTGTTTTTGTAAATAGGGTTTCACGGGAACATAATCATACTCATTTGTTTCCACAGTGTCTGTGGCTTTTTTTTTTTTTTTTGTAACAATGACAGTAGTATGGTTGTGACAGAGATTTAGAATATTTCTTTTCTGGTCCTTCACAGCAAAATTTTACTGATCCCTGATGCAGTGTACTAAAAGAAACACTGAAAAGAACACCTGTAGCTATCTAAAAGAGTTAATGCACCTCCAAATTTTATCATGTACCTCAGGAATAACCTGGGTTTCTTCATTAGTTATATAAATGTCAAACAACTCACCTCACAGTGGTGTTTTATACTTTAGAAAAGAAACAATTTGTCTGTTTTCAGCAAAAGCCTGTAAAAGTTAATTTGTTTAAAAAAAGAAGAAAAAAAAAAAAAGGAAAGGAAAAAGAAAGCCAAAGAAGTATAACTGGCTATGTTCTCTTAATATTTCCATATTATTGGAGGAAAAGGGCTGTAAAAGTTTCTGTTAGCCCTTTGGCTTTTTGGTTTATTAGTATTTTCTGACACATAGTACTCCTCCTCCCCCCAAGAATCTTTAAGGCAATCAATCTGCCTAAAATGCTTAGTTTCTTGAAGCCTTGTTCAGAAGTATTTACTTATACTAAACATATTAAAGATTATCTCTTTAGAAAACATTTCTAAAATTCTTTAGAGGAGGAAGGTGAAGAATGCATAGAAAAATTAAATTTTGAAAAACATACTTTAAAAACTATAGGTAGAAAATAGCTACCATTTCTAATGGTACTGTAAAGTAAACCTACCAAACAAAAATACTGAATTTCTGAAGAACAAGACTCCCTGCCCCAACCGCCTGCACAAGCTTGTTTCCAGCAGAGAGCCTTCTGAACGCCAGCAGCGGCTCTTGACGCTCAGGAGTCTGCAGGCGTTTCAGACAGCCAGTAGCTATTAAAACATGGAAGATAGAACACTCAAGATATTTATCAAACACAAATTTATATCAAGATAAACTTTTTTCACAAAGCTTAAAAGTGGACTTTTTCTTTGTTAAAAAAATGAATGATATGAAACTACGTCGGGGATGTTTCTATGATAACACCTTACATTTATATTACACTTTACAGTTTTCAAAGTGCTTTCCCAGGCATCTCATTTAATCCTCACAACAGCCCTGTGAGGTAGGTACAGCAGGTATTATTGTCCTCATTTCATTTCAAGATGAGGAAACTGAGGCAAAGAGAAGTCAAGTGTCATATCCAAGAGCACAGAGCTGGAAACTGCAGGGCCAGGAGCAGAAATTAAATGTTCTGACTCCTTGTCTAGTACGCTTTCCACTACTGCTACTGCCTCCAATTATGAATAATGTGTTCTATCAAAATCGAAAGGTTATTGAACTTCTTTTTAGTGATTTCTTAATAGTAAAGTTAAATGAAAAATACAAGAGAGCAGGTCAGATGATTTTACTTGACACAATAAAACTGGTGCAAAATGACTTTTGTCTAATTACTTGTAACTTTTTGGTCCAAATACATAAAATATGCAATATTTACAGCATTTTTCTTTTTTTTTTTTTTCGTAAATGCAACGCTTTAAAACACATTATAAAGCACCTTAGTAAAAATAGTCTACAAGTAAAAGTACAGAAGAAGTAGGAAAATCCTACCCATACCACAGCTCACTAATGGAGTCATAATATAGTCACTGATATCTCAGTTTACAGCTTTACAAATAACCCATGGAGAAACAAATACCAAACTTACTTTTTTGATATTAATGTGTGGAACGCTCAACTGAAATTTCAGATGATTCCAATTAGTAGAGCTATCTTCCCAATATTAGATACTGGGGAGAATGGAATAAGAAATACTGTTTTGACTCTATCTTTTTACAGTATTCATGGTTTAAACTAGATATTTAACACCAATGGTCACCATCCAAAAAAACCCAAAAAACAAAAAACAAAACCTCACCTACATTAATACGGGCAAATCCTACTATAGCAAAAACATTTCTTAGCAAACATGATCAAACATTCTAATAAATTTCATGAGACATGATTCACAGAAACAAAGCACAAATGGCCGAACAATTAACACTATTCAGAAGAGGTGTAGAACCCAAACCTCTGGAGAAGGTGGAAGTGGCAAATGGATTTATCTTCAGTCATAGTTAGTTGGAAAAAAAACGTTTTGTCAGGAAAAAAAATATCAGAACCTTTTTCTGAAATTGTATTTAGCCTTTTGATTAGGCCTGCCATGTGTTAGGGGATATAAGGTTCTTTTTTCCCCCTTCCACACAGGAGGTTGCAACTCTCACCAAAATTCAAACAGAAAAAAGAAAAATGCCTGAAACTTAAACTTATAACATACCAGCCAGTATTTATGTCCTTGATGTTACTGTTTTCTAATGTAGCCCAATATAAATCGTCTTATACATGTCAGCAATTCATGATGTGAAGCTGAGAATGAAGTGAAGACAGGGTCACAGTTCTAGTTCCAGACTCTAACAATCACACCGTATTCAGTTCGACTTAGGGTAAATCTTTTCGTAGAAAAAGTTTTGTGTAAGGATGTAGAGGTCTCCATCTTTTTCTCGAACAGCATGGGCTCTGATGAACTGGAACTGCTCTAGTGCAAATTCATAGAACTCATTCTCCATTTTCCAAATGTCAGACTGCTGCAATTTTGCAATGGTTTGTTTAGTGGGGAGTTTCTTCTCTGTGGTTTTCCTAAGATGAGATTTCTTTCCTACTTGCAAAGGAAAGTAAAGGAAAGTTAAAATTTTCTGAGGAGAACACATGAAAAATAAATACCTCTTTATTTAAAGATGGTTTAACATTGAAGGATACGTAACATAATTACATTAATATATTCAGTCAAACATCGAATACTAATTATACCAGAACTATTCCTTCAGAATGTAAATCCTTCACATGTTAAAGACTTCATGAAATGTCACATTGAAAATATAAAGATCACTACTCAGTAGACTGTTGCCTTGAGCACTATATTTTCCAGTGCTTGGTGCCAAGAATTGTTTATTTTTAAAATTTAGTATCTACTACCAAACTTAATTCTAATTTCCCATAACCTATATTTGCTATAATCATATAGGAGTAGGGCCTATGTATATTCCTACGACTGTATCTGATCAAACAACAGCCAAAAGGGAGTTTTAAAAAAAGGAAAAATGTCAAAATGAAACGGGACCAGGATGGTCAGCTTCAGATTCGTCATACTCCGAGGCTGCACAGGTAGTTATATTGTTCATGATGCCTCTGTAGGTGTGCTTCCCACCCTCATATCAACTCTACTTTAAAATGGTGGGAGGGGGCTGGCAAGACAGATGGGCCAACTAGGGACCGGGGTTCCATCCCTGGCACCACATGCTGCACTGGGCCTGCCCCTGGGTGCACTGAGCTGGCAATCAAGTCTGGG